TTATTGGACGACAAGAATTTTTCCTGAAGTCCAATGCAAACTGGATGAAAATAGTTTATTAAACCTTTAAGGTCCTGTAATTTAGAGCGAATGCCGCGACAGTTCCATGAAAGGAAAGAACACATTAAGAAAGTGTTGGAGGATTAGAAGTAGGAACACCAGTTGGAGTAACTGACACATCGCAGTTCATCTGCAGATCTTCATCCTCATCTGATGGATGAAGTTTTAGATCAGGGACTTGGGGAACACCACCAAAGATGGAAGACAAGTCCTTGTGAACTATACCTTTATCAGCGAGTCCTAAAGCGACAGAATTCTGGTGGGCAGATTTTTTTAATTTGACAGGTAGATCCTTCTGAGAAAGTCCACGTTTGGCTTGTTTAAGTTTTTTTGACTTTTCAGATTGAGATCTTGCCCTGTTTTTCTGATGATTGGAAACCTCAGGAGCACTGATGACACTTAAATCAGAGTCAGTGTCTGTGGGAGTTCCTTCATTCGAGTCAGAATTCGAATTGGCCATTTTGGAAATAAATATTTTATTTTTATCACTTTTATGGTGAACTGTTACTGAAGTGGATGAAATAGCTTGGGTTGGTGATTTTGCCCAGAATTTTGAGGCAGTGGCAGGTGTAATTTTATTGTGATTAGCAGATTGAGTTTTAGAAGATTTTTTAGGTTTTTTCTTTTTCACTATTTTGAATTCGGATGAGGTTTGTGAACCTAGTGGAGCTTCACAAGATTCAGAAATAGGCTGGAGTGGAATTATTTTTTTCTGAGTGCTAGATGTGGATGCTATTTGTACAGTGTCAGCAGATTTTGAAGTAGAAGGAATTGGATTGGACATTGTAACTATATGATGACAGTGAGGACAATGAGTGGTCTGGTAGGCAGGATGGCTTTTTTCCACGACAGAAGCGTAGCTCCCACCTGCAGGTGCTGATTGTGCTTTGACTATTCGTCGAGCTTCCGGGAATGATATATTATTTTTAAATTTTGTAGCAACGATTTCTTTCTCTACTTTCCATTTGGGACAGGAACGAGAGAAAGAAGTGTGCTGGCCTTGACAATTAACACATTTCTCAACGGCCGTACATCCAGTGCTCTCGTGACCAGCTACTGCACAACGGGCGCAAGTAAGTGTCCCGCGACAGTTTGTTTTGGAATGACCAAAACGCTGGCACTTGAAACTTAGGGGATTGGGAATATACGGTCTTACGGCACATCGAACGTATCCAGCCTTTATATAGTCCGGCAATCTAGGTGTGTTGCATGTTAAAATGAAATGTTTTGTCGGCATCAGTTCACCATTACCACGAATGTCAATGCGACGCACATCTTTAACAACTTGACCTCTCAATTCGTGTGTGATTTCGTCATTGGGGAGGTTAAGAGCCTGCCACAGGTAATAACACCTTTTGAGGTATTAAGAGTATCATGTGGGTTTACAGTTACAGGGATAGTACAAAGGAAATTGACAGTAAGGATTTGTTGTGCTTGCTTGCGAGAAGCGACCTCAACAAGCAAGTCACCAGAACGCTTAAGTTTTGTAGAGGACACATTGCCAACACTGCCAGTGATGGCCTTCTCTACAAGAAAAGGAGAGACATTACAGAAATTTTCATTTGTGTCACTGACACGCTTTATGATATAGAAGGTATCGAAGTTTTAAACAGAAGAATGCCCACTTAAGGGAGGTTGCTTGAGAGGACCCATGCAATATTTTTAAGGTAATTCGGGTCCCGACAGCACCGCCCACCACGGAGCCCAACAAGGGAAGGCAGCCACCGGCTCTGGGTATTCCCAGCCTCGGCGCTTACCTTGGTGCTAGTCGGAACCTATACGCTGAGGGTCACCCCCGGGGACAGTGACCACCCTTAACGCCAAGCCCAAGGAGTGACCCCTTCGCTTGATCCCCTTGAGCAGACCAGCCATGCGACTGGGATACCAGCCGATCGATACACCGGGGACCGAAATGTACCACCCGTCGAATGGGTCGCCACTCACGGCCAACACGGGGGGGTAATTTGCTGTCCATGAGAAGCAAGAAGCAAACAGAGCGGCAACTACTTCTCATGGAGAGCTCCCTCGCCTACTCTCGAGGGAAAGAAGAAAATAGTAAAAGACTCAAGGGGAGGCAAAAACGGAAGGAGAAATAGACACTAGGGTACCTCGGGGTCGTGAATCCCGTCACATCTAGAGAAGATGTGTCCCTGAGGGCCTAATACATCAAGGATAAACTTTGTCAAGCTGTATTTCTACTTCTCAGCAAGTTCTCTGGTGACACTGTAGCGATACTCGACAAATAACATGAATTAAGTAAATCAGTACGTATCATCTCTCTAAGTCTTCAACCAGAGATAACATTTCTTACAATGAAATCTAACTTTGAATTTGTAAACTATTTTAACTAAACTAAACTTTGAATTTGTAAACTGTTGCAATGTTGTACATAATTTAGTTCCCTGGTATTTAGAACTGAATTGAAATTTGTTGTCAATTTCCAAGTGTTCTAGTGAAAGTGGATTTTTCAATCTCATGCATGTAATAACAGGTATGAACCCAGAACTTATCATGGACATTCTCCATCAAGGATCGGCTCCCAGTGAGCCAACAGTAGTTTTAATTTGTATTCTTATTTTGAATTTTGACATTTGTTTTCAATTTCTGTGTGTTTCAGTGAATGTAGATATAGTATAGTGTATCATCGAAGGCAATGGAAAGTGTTAAGAAAATATGTCTATTTCTGCTCAGTATAATATTTTGTTTTTAACAGTTTTTAACCCAGCACGTATCCAAATCAAAACACAAAAGGATTCCAAATTGTGACAATAACACGATGTGAAAACAGCCTCACACTTTTAATTCCAGGAGACTGCAATTGTTATCTGCAATGTAATCCGACTGTAAACAAACAATGTATCTCCCTGGCATATTAATATTTTGTATCTTATTTTTCTCAATAAAGTTGTTAGGGGGGCAGTATGTTCGGTATGGCGCCTTGTGGGCTCTGTAGGGGGCGATTGCTTAATCCACCTTGCACCCATCCAAACTGTTGTGATAATCTAGGTTATAGGAACAGGAGGTGCAGATGACGTTCTGTCTAGAGCAAACAATACCTTTCATGGGGCCTCATGAGCGTTTCGCATCGGATGCCGTAATCAGACGTTTGGTTTATCCCACAGAGCCAGTTCTGCTTACCAAAAGTGGCCTACTGGACACTCGCATCCAATCGTACGGCCTTCAGTCATGCACGGCGGACTTCTCACCCATTTAAAGTTTGAGAATAGGTTAAGGTCGTTTCGACCCCAAGGCCTCTAATCATTCGCCTTACCGGATGAGACTGAGTTTTCCGAGCGCCAGCTATCCTGAGGTAAACTTCGGAGGGATGTTTACTCGGGCGATTAGTTTTTCGCCCCTATACCCGGATCTATTTGCACGTCAGAACCGCTGCGAACCTCCATCAGAGTTTCCTCTGGCCTCGTCCTGCCCGGGCATAATTCACTATCTTTCGGGTCCCAACATGTATGCTCAAACTCTACCCAACCAATAAATTAGAAAGGACGGGTCGTTGGTGCGACACTCTTTCGAAGGGATCCCAACACAATCGGCGTCGAGTCTGACCTTTGCTTTCATTGCGCCTCTGGGCTTATTCGAGACCCATTGACACACAGACATGTTATAATCCTTGGTCCGTGTTTCAAGACGGGTCGGGAGGGTGAACGATCTACTCCCCGCAAGCCGCCAACCTCCGACAGGTACATAGCAGCCAAAGAGGAGTTGCCTCCCAGCGGAATTCAACTGTGCGCCTGCAAAAAGTGCTCACTCTCGCCACTGTATCCAGGAGTCCGTGAACGGAGGAGGCGAAGAAGCTTCAAATAGTCCACGCGACATCACGGTCACGCTACGAGCCGTGCGACACGCTGGCTAACAGCCGACGATCCAAATGAATGGACCACCGGCCAACTGACGCCGCGCCCTTAAGGCAGTCCTTGCAACTGGTAGCGGGGTCCTTCGTACGGGAAACAAATGCTTTCCATGACGCGAAACTTCCTCGAATGGTGTACGCCTGCGAAACCATAATGAATCTCAAACAAGGGACCACGTCAAAACTGCATCCTCCCCGACACAGGAGTTTGAGGGTCCACCTGTTTGCCTCTGAGCAGTGTCACGTACTCTCTTTTTTTTTTTTAATGTTCTTTGCAACTTTCCCTCACGGTACTGGTTTGCTATCGGTCCCACGGCCGAGCTTAACCTTAGGTGAGTTGCTCACCCGATTAGGCTGCACTCCCAAGCAATGACTCCAAGGAGATCGCATCTGACGGAGACCTATATTAAGTGGGCCATTCGCACCACCCACTCTAAGCCAGCCCCGGTCAGGGGACTTGCTTGAGTCAACCGGCACTCTCACTCCTAAACGCCACATTTTCCGACTCCCTCTCGAGAGGAGGCTTCAGTGCTGGACTCTTCCCCTTTCGGTCACCGTTACTCAGGGAATCCCTGTTGGTTTCTTTCCCCCTCTTATTTATTTGCTTAAATTCAGCGGGTCATCTCGTCTGATCTGAGTTGTCAATAAGTGAATTTTATATAGGTTAATAAGTTTATGTAGGTTCTCGTACCCTATGTTTGGTCTTCTCAGCATCATACCTTCTCGTCTTCGTGTAGAAACGTTGTCCGTTTTCTCCGAACTACGAGCATGCACTAGGGCTTGTGTTCTCTCGACCGGGGAGGATCCTATGAGTACTTGAGCCGACGAAATCCACGAAGGACTCCGATACGGCCAATAGGAAATATTATTTCCTTTGCAAGTCTTAGCCGACCCTCAGACAGGCGAGGCCCCGGGCATTACCCGAGGCCGCAATGCGGTCTGGAAAAATCGGTGCTCAATGTCCCGTAATTCACACCAAATCTGACAGCTGGCTGCGTTCTTTCATTGACCCGTGAGCCGAGTGATCCACCGCTCAAAGCGTTGTACTGGGCGTATTGGCCAATCGGTTCCGAAAGGTCGTAGTGCGTCTGAGAATGAGTTCAACATGGTATGGTATGATGTGGTTTATTGGCGCAAAACCACTTTGATTATTCGCACCAAACATAGCGGTTCAGGATAAAATCTAGCATAGGAGTTCAGTTAAAAGGAGTGCCATACGGTGTCAATATGTAGTCTACAAAAGAATGTGTTCAGACACTTCCACGAGGAAAGCGACACTACGGGCGGTGTGCTATTCAGCACATCTCTTCAAGCCTAGCTCCCGATAAAGGGAACCCCTCCTGCCCATGTCGGGGCCGGGGATCACAATATAAGGCACATCGATGGTCTTTCGCGCAGGTCGCCCATAAGCCAAAAGATCAAACATGGGGTTTCTTCACGCCATCTCCAAAGGAGCTGAAGGTATTCTTTGGTGAAACCTAAGGATAACGAATTAAAAAGAGTTTGAAGCAAATCGAAAAATTATTTTGGACATACTGCAGACTCATAGCCCTGAGGCCAGACTATGGGGTTGTTAGAATCTTTAAAAAAGTTGCTTAATTGATGCCTCACCCGATGACATCTTAGCCATTAAAAATACTTTGATTAAAACATGGAGAGAAGGAGGTCATGGACAAATTTGACTTGATAACCCCTAACAGACGCTCCCCAATTTATACTTTATAATGTCCCCAAAGAAGTAGAGGGCAGATTCATTAAAAGATTTGGTTCAGTACAAGAATATTTCTTGGCCGACGGCACAATAAACTGCATTTCAAGCTGGAGTTCTCTATTCCGGGTAGGATCGGCGCTCCAACCATTGGGTCATGTCTATAAACCCTAAAAAAAGTATGAGGATTTTCAAAGTAAAGAAGGGTTGTATTTCCAATTTATCGCTTAAGACCCCAGTTTTGAATTCATTTCCATTAAACAGTGCGTCGAAAAAATGTTACGCTTTGGGCATACTACCAGGGTTGCGACCCAAAAATAAACAGCTGAAAGGTGAGGAGACAAGGAGAAAATCACGTTGCAATGGTTACAACTGTATCAATTGTAGTGAATCGAATAGAGATAAGAACTAATCATAAACTGATCATAGTTGCTCGAACAGGAACCGTAAAACCCCTATTAGACAAAAAAGATTTAGTTATTCAAAGCCAGACTGCTATGGGGTTATATACTCTTCCCAGAGGAATACAAATTAACGTCAACCACTGTCTTGCAGCCCACCCGCGGGGGGCCTTCGTGGTCGCGAGGGATCTCCAACTGATTTAGCTGTCCAAGACCCTTATCTTATAAAGGGGAACCCCTAAACGGACTTGCTGCAGGATTTTAAGTACGATAGCAAAAAAGGCTATCCCATACATTAATAAAAATTTTAACTCCTTTTCAAATTCTAGCACCACCAATTCGGTGGTGGCTGAATTGCATTTTAATGATTTTATCTTCGTTATTTTGTAACTGCTATTTTCCCCATGAGAGGATTTAGATATACTTTAGAGGAATTTAAAGTGATTATAATTTTAATAACAGTTTTAACCTCTGGTGGGGATTTTAATTGTAAATCCTGCAGTTAGGCTACGATCTGACAATTACCGTGGTCGCAGGCTGTCGGAGTTCGTGGTCTCTACCCTTACATGTTTGTAACATTGCTGATTATGGTCCAACTTTGTTAATCCAATAAACTCGGGGTTCCCTGATCTTACACTGATAAATGCATCATCCATATCTTAATTTTGTTATTAAAAACTGGGGTGTCTTTGGACATAGAATCCCATAGCGATCACAAATATATTTACTTTCTCAAATAGTTACAGATAATAGTTCCAGAAGTTGATTTCTTCTTTAAACTCCAAATACGGAATAAGGATTTATTAATTTTGTGAAAAGCATATTGCTCCTTTAAAAAAGAAACTTAAGAATATTTCTGATAAAATTCTACTTGAATATTTTTATCAAAGATTTAATAGACATGATACAAAGAGCAGCTTTCAAGACCCTCAAGAAAAAAAGCTTCAAAAAAAAAATTGCTCAAGATTCAGCTTGGAATTATGCCTCCGCAATGCTCGAAATAAAGTTAGTAAATTATTTAAATTATACACGAAGTCCAAATCTAGGCAGTTGACGCGGTCCAGTCTGCCGATAGCCTATCGTAAGGCCAGGCCGATTACAAAAAAATTTCTTTTGTCAACTAAGAGAAAGGCCTGGGAGATGTATTGTTTAAATTATAACGAACGATTTTGGTATTTTATTTAAAATATATTTAATAAATTTGGGGCAAATAATTCAATAGTGGCAAACCCTGACAAAGATCCCACCTAACTATCAAAGATAAGATATCACGTATTATGGAAGATTTTTTCCTGGTCCAATCTCTTGGGAGCATCTTGATTATTCCCCTACACCGGCCCCAGATCCTTTAATTATTGAAGACCTCGAGATTATTTTGCAACTTAAAGGGGAGGAAGGCTCCTGGCTGGACCGAAGGATTACTGCATGAGAGCGGTTTTTAACTAGATAAAGTTTTATGTTTAACCTTTAACCTCTGTTTTAAATTTAATTACTCCCACTTTAGTCTTAGAATGCTAGATTTTCCTATTGGAAAGATGGGAAGGATCCTGGCTTAACTTCGTCTTACCGGCCGGTTTGCCTTTTACCAACTCTAGGCAAAATTGTCGAAAAGGCTATTTTATTTAAATTAACAGATGCATAGATCGAAATAATATTTTACATCAAACCAATTGGCTTTTTTAGAGGGCAAAGCGAGATCTAGCCATCACACAAATTGTGGAGATTATAAACTAGAAGACCTCTCGAACATTACTGCCTTCATCTCCTCGATATCAAATCTGCCTTCCTCTATCAATATGAACTGGCCGGTTCTTTTAACATTTTAAATACATATGGACTTCCAGAGTTTTTTTGTATTAATTTTTTATTCTACTATTTGACAACAGAAAGTTTTTTTACGTAAATGACATTTTTAATATATCTAGACGGTAAGCCTGAGTAAGTCCCAGGGATCAGTATTTGCGCCTATACTCTGAATTTATACATTAACTCAATTTTGTAAGCAGTAATAATGAGGAAATTACATACAGGCTTTTGTGATGACCTGGCACTTACTGGGGGTCGTACGGCCAGAGATCTTGAGTAGGGGATTACTCACTTAGCTTCCGGCCAAAATTTCCACTCCATCTCGACCCCTGAAATTATCTCTGATACATAAGTGCCAGGCTAAAGGTCTAGGAGCATCTCTTCCCAGCTTTAGCGCAATTCAACAATCTTGAATAGAAACTACTTTAAAATAATAATATTTCTGATAAAAGCTACCGATAGCCTGAAAATCTTGGGTGTACACATCAACCAAAAGCTTTCTTGGACTGCCCACACACTCCCTCATGAAAAATTTTAACTCTCATTTCCACTTAATAATAGTCAAGACTGAATGGATGTAGATAAAGCTCCTGCCAGACCCCTGGTATCTCACTACCCATAGAAGTCTCCTGCTCTCTGGCGCTAGCGTCTGGGGCGGAGCTTTAATCTAAAACCAGGCAGTGACACGTACCTATTTCATTAATTGTTCGGCTTAAACTGGCAAATATCACCACCCTTGCCAAACACAAACAATTATCTGGTATCCCCCACCTGTTACAATCCAGAGGCCGGAGTTTATAAAAATTTCAGATCTGTGTGCGGTACTCTAATCATTTTAACAATATAATCATCCAGTGCTCAGACCATAATATTAATATAAAATGATTCTGACATTAAATATATCTCGCCTGAACAGCTTTAAATCCAGATTATGTGTATACAATTTGGACAGTCCAGTGAGAAGATTAAAATTCCGCCGTGTACCTTGTGAATAGCCATAACATAGATAATTTTATTTAAACTAAATAAATACAACTCTGTTTTTCAGGCAGAACTGCGGCTATTCAATATGCCGCAAAATTGGGCCGCCAGGCACAATCAAAGATTAACATTTTTCCGATAGCCTGTCATCCAATATATAAACCAGCAGCTCCATTCCAGATCTAAATTGTTAACTCTACGAAACAGATCGTTTGTTAAAGCTAAAAAAGATTTGGTCGGCCTTTCAAAATAAAAAAAGTCACAAGCATCCAGAAATGAATGGGCCTGACCACCAGGCAAACTTGCTATTTCTATTTATGAGAGGTTGAAGTCCCAGCTCCCCTCGTTCCTTTTAAATCGTAAAATCAAAAGCTTTATCTTGCAGACCTGGAATAATTACTGGAAATAATTATAACTCGGCCTCGGGATCAGGGTATGGGAATATATTGCGTGGTTAGCCCAAAGTTTTAATTCAAAAATAAAAAATTTAAACTTCTTTGAGGGCATGGTCCTTTCCCCTTATCTACATCGTTTTAAAAAAGCTTTGATTCTCCTGCTCTGTCTGGGGCAGGTGGGCGACGCTGACCATTACACTTTTAATTGTCCATTCACCCAAAACCTTATCATTTACTGCAAACCCGCAGACGCAATAAAAGAGCATGGTTTTAAAATCTTAAATAGTATGTCAGGCTATCGGGAAAATGGCTGTAAATCATTCAAGACATTAGTTTTGAAATATGTACAGTAATAATGTAACTGTTCCTAGCAACA